CAATTTTCATCTCGCACACTACAGCGGTAGATGCTGCCGTTCCTGGCCGCCGTAGCTTCCAAGTCCAGGAGCTTCCGCGTTAATTTCGCCGTCTCCTTTGACAATTCGTCATGGTTCAACCGGTTCAGTTCCTCGAGGGTCTCAACAACCTTCTCCACCAGGTTCCGGTCGCCAACGCGCTGATGAGCAGGGAGCCAGGTCGAGTTACGACCGTGGCCGCTCAAATGAGTAATGAGGAGAGTCAGCGCTGCAGTAAAGGCGCAAAAGTCCACTAGGCGGCAGCAATAAACGACGCGCACAACCGAGCGGAAGGTGATGTACCGGTTCAAGACCTCTCTGCTTGCGTATGTGCAAACTGTCTTGCTGTAGTCGTATCGAGAACTTGCATCTTGGCGTAGTAGGTATGGTAAATGGACAATGTTAAGCATATTGTAGTGAACAATCTGCATCTGAGCACTGATGACTCTGGCCATGACCTCGTCAACACTCATCTGCGGGTCAAGATCCATGGGCGTCCACCATGTGCTTGCGACGCTGTTGGATACTCGGGTCAGGGTAGCATCTATCTCCATTGTGGTATCGAAGCTGTCTTCTCCGTTGCGTTGTCCTCGGTTAATGATGAGCTCGCATATGTCAACCTGTGTTCTCTCAAACCACTCCGCATCAGTTTCTCCAGCTGTCTTGTCGTAGGATCCAAACTTGGCATTTGAAATGGATGTCGGCATGCCAAGAAGAAGCGATAAGTATCGCTCCAGATACGCCAAATGCGCCCAAGTCACGTCGCCCGAGACTCGTGTCGTTGGGTCGTGTTGTTTGAGCGAGGTACGTGACCCTTTGCGATGCATGCCCATGAACTGAGCGAGCGTTGACGCCCGCCGCAGACAGATTAGAGCTCGCCGGAGATTACCGCAGTTTACAAGATAAACAGCCTCGCAGATGAGACACTCAAGACCTTCGAGGGAATTGAGCAGCTCGTCGTGGCAGGTAACTAAACTTGTGGCAAGGTGGAAATATCCCTCCATGGCCTCCGCAAGACCTTGCTGTAGTTGCAAAGAGCTTCGGTCAAATGATGGATCTAATTGCTGCATGCAAAGGCTGAGGTGCAAGAGCTTTCTTGCAAGTAGCACTGGGTGAGCAGTCTCGGGAGGAATGGCCGATAAAACGTTGCTGGGTAAAGAGTTGCCTTGTTCGAAGAGCTCGCGGTACGAATTGCAGAGTGCCTGGAGGTAGATTGTGGCCCTGCCAGCCTCAAATAGAATATTTACATCATTCTGACATGGGAAAGCCGCGTGCAAGGTCTGACACGTGGAGAACAGATGAGACGGCGCGTACTGAATAGGTCCTGGGACTGCTTCGGGTTGATACGACTCCCCTTGGGCTTGGGTTGCCGTTCCCCCGGGAGAGGTACGGGACGATGTCTGTAGTCACGTTAGCCTGTATCTCGCATCTAGAATTTGAAAGGAAATTAATGTGCCACCTTTCCCTGCTTTGAGCTCTCGGCTTGGGAATGTGGATAGCCACCCTCGCTGACTAGATCCGGATCTGTGTCCGGGTTTTCCGTTGATGGCCTACCAAGGGAAGGTTGTGGAGGAGAGGCGTCGCTCAGGATGCTAGAGCCATCAGAGGAGAAGACCTTGTCAGTGAGTCGCTGAAGCATGATCTCTATTCTCTCCAATCTGTCCCCCGTTGGCGGATCCTCGTCGTGCTTGGACACAGTCACGTCCACAAACTCTTGGCCAATACAGGCCGTCCCTCGGCGCTGGCATCCCACACAGATCAGCGCGGCAGGGCTTTCGAAGAAGCATCTCGTCTTCCGTCGCTTGCCTACGCACAGCGGTCAGCGGCACTATCAGGGCCAGCGAGAGGGAAAGGCGAGGGGACCGTACACTCTGCACAACTGTGGGTGCCCTTGCGCAAGATCCGTCTTGGCAACGACATCGAGCCGGTCTCATTGGAGCTAATACCTGGTCGATCCATCGGGAATAGCTCGATTCTGGATCGCTCGCAGTCACGGGCGGCGGAAGATCGAGCGAATTGGTTGAGGAGTCTGAGGACCATTTCTCCGCCGTCTTCCGCCGACGTCGATATATGTATGTAGCGCCATGATGAGATTTTAGCGTCTGGCTTAGCTTTGAGGCGTTCTCACGATCAGTGCCGATTACCCCTGACTCTGTTGGTTGTTAGTCTAGGACATCTGTCAATGAATTCTGACGACCTAAGTAGCTACTTGGAATATACTAGCTCCCAAATGGAGCAAGGGGCCTGTCGTAATTAGTCTCGTCATTTCAGCACACTCAATGCACTGGCTTAGGCATGATGAGGTGTAGGGCTGATGTCTTTCGGATGACCGACAAGTAGCAATAATAGAGCGGAATGGTTTTCATCCAACTAGCCAGTTCTCAAATCCTTTTCTCTTTCATTTAAAAAATATCTTCTTTTCAAGAAATGACCTGTTATGTTCTGTGTGAAGGCTAATTTGACGAAGAGCTGAAGAGACTTGTATTATGAGTAATTGGTAGTCCTGAGCACAAAGGATTGACAATGAACAACGGAAAATATGTCAAGTTTAAGAAGTACGTACGACAAGCAAAAAATTAGAACCAAAACAAGCACATTCACCGACGAATAACCGGGGCAACAATAGCTTGTTTTGCGTTGGAACAGGGCCCTCCTCCGCCGTCTTCCGCCGAACTGGGACATAGAAGAGGCGCCGGCATAAGATTTTAGTGTCCCGCGAATTAAGTCTCGACCTCGACCTCTCCGATAATTGGCCAACAAGGTCTGGTCATCATTAGCAAATTGGCCCTGTAGGCTGATCATATCGTGGGACGGATCATCGTCCGCCGTTGTGCGTGTGTCGACTCCCGAGATGCTTTGAAGGCTGTACTAGTATATATACCATTACCTCAGCCATGATGCTTCAAATTTCTTTCAATGTGCAAGACAAAGCTTACTTCGAGATCGATTCACTTTATATCACTACAACCAATCAATTAGTAATCAGAAATCATCATGTCTTCTTCAACTTTGCAGCAGATTCTGCTTCGCCCGACAGGCTGGAAGGTTGGCTCTGACTTTGAGTCCAAACGCTATCCCCTCTCCCTCATGGGCCACGTTATGCCCAAGATTTACGTGTTGGTATCAGAGGTGTTCGCTCTTCCAGAGCTGGCAGACACTCAAGCCAATCAAGCCATTACCGAGAACTTGAAGGCCGGATTGGAGTTTGCTATCTCTCGTTTCCCTATCCTAGCTGGTAACTTGGAGATGGATGCAGCCAGTGGCCGAATGTGGGTTTCTACAACAGCCGAGACCAAGGTTCATTTGCATGTCAAGCATATGTTGGGTGAGGAGGACTTTCCCAGTTACAGTGAGCTGGCTTGTAAGGATGTATGGTTCCCCTCTTCCCCCAAATCTCTATAACTTTTGCTCCGCAGAATACAAGCAGTCGCTGATACCACCGCAGTTCCCGGCAGCCTTGCTCAAGGGCCACCAGCTGCTCCCAGAGTCAGTCACAGCCAAACAGCTCCACTCTCCCCTGGGCGACAATAACGAGGATGGAATTGCTGCAGCAGCTTTCCAGCTGAACTTCATCCGAGGCGGCCTCATCATTGCCATGGCTGTTCACCACTCCGTTTCAGATGGCCCTGGATGTGATGGCTTTCTATCTACCTGGGCGGACAACAGTGTGGCCGCTTTGAATGGAAGACCCTTCATTCCCAACGAGACTCCCTTCAGCCTGCACGGAACGAAATTGGACATGGAAGGCGCCCTTTCCCCTGACCAAATGAAAGAGCTTCAGGAGGCACTCCCCGTCGTTCGCGATGCCGGTGGTCCAATGCAACCGCCTCCAGCCGGTTTCAAGATGCCAACCCTGGTGTCCCACATGTGGCACTTCCCCAAAAGCAGGACGGAAATTCTCAAGGCTAAGGCATCCAGCAGCGGCGATGCTAATTGGATCTCTACCTACGATGCAATCATGGCAGTTCTGTGGAGCAGTATCACTCGCGCCAAAATAGGCCTGCTGCAACCTGACAAGAGTGCCAAGGCAACTCTCGTCCACGCTGTCGACACCAGAAAGGTCTGGAGTCCACCCCTCCCAGAGCGTTTCCTGGGTGTCGGGACTACTGCCGCACGATGTGAGCCTCTGTCGATCCAAGAGGTCATTGCAACAGAGAACCTGCCTAAGATTGCGGCCACCGTCCGTTCATCCATTAAGGCGGTGACACCGAACCATCTCAGCCGGCTGCTGCAATGGGTCGAAGGGCACGAGGACAAGCGATGGCTGGAAATCAGCATCAACTCTTTCCTGGGTCTGGACTTGGGAGCCTCAAGCTGGCAGGGAATGAAGGCTTACGAACGGCACGACTTCGGGTTTGGGCTGCCCAAGGCACTTCGATGGCCCAGCCCACCCTTTGAGGGGTTTGTATTTTTGTATCCTAGCCGGGCTGGAGTCGAGGGCGCAGAGGAGGATGAAGGGATTGAAGTCTGTGTATGCCTCGAGGAGTCTTGCCACAACAGACTGATGGAGGATCAAGTCTTGCTTGAGTATTCCCAGCTGAGAGGGTTGGAGTAGAGGGAAAATCGGCTTGGGTGGTAAATATGTTTGCTGCTGCTTTGGCGATATAGTTGGTTCCCTTTGTTCTTCATCTTTTAATCAATTTTTCGATAATGAGAATGCTTCCATTGATCAATTGTCATAGACAAAGTGGATTTTAATAACTTCTGAGAAAAAATCATCATAACTAAACTTATATCATGCATTTCATTACGCTTCCTGTTCTTCTGCTGGTGCAAGTTGTTGCCCAGATATCTGTGTTTTCCCATTTTCCGTCTCAACGCAGCACTCCAATCCCTCAAAATGGGATTTTTTTAACGATTTCATCCCTATGACCTTAACCCTTCCGCCTACTCCTTACTAGTACTAAATTCCGTGAGAAGATTATTGTTCACTTCTACCATATTTTCGTTCTTATCTGTCCTGTCTTCCTTCATTCATCCACCTATGGAGCCTCCAAGTAGAGAGGCTCAAGCCGTAATATCATCGACTCTAATCTTTCCACTATGGACCCATAAACCGCTCTTTGTAGTTGGTCCTGACTGAGGTCACAGCCAACCCCGAAGTCACACCGCAGACACTGTTGTGTGATATCTCGATATTCGGAACCTAGGGTCGAGCTCTCGTGAGCCATCTTGCGAACGCGCAGCACGTTGCCTGGGTCTAACTGCGTCCCTCGGTCAATATGCAAGAGAGCTACCCCTAAACAATGTAGAGTCATGTTATTGATCCCGCATGTTACTCTTTCCTCCTCCTCCGTCTGTGAACCATGTGGAGTGAGAAGGCCATTGTTGTCCATAATGGCATCCACTTCAATGTTCCTAGTGAGCCTTTTCAGCTCAAATTCAGCCCCAAGATGGAGCGTCTGGAGTGATTTCGATAAGCTATCTTCATGGTAGAAGAATGAAAGATCACCAAGCTTCCAAATCTCCCTTAGCCAAGGCGTTCCATGAAATCTGAGCACGGCTAAGGCTAGTGATCGTGCAATCTTGAGCTTGTGGATAGGTGCGACGATCTCCTGCGTGAACCCGACAAGGGTATCCATGGTAATTAACTGATTAACAGATAAGGTGGGAGCACGGTGTAGATTATCTGGTAAATAGAAGAGATGCTGATTGCACTCTTCAGCATCAAAGTCGATATGACCAACGCAATAATCGATGCCAATGGTTGCTTGATCATAACGTTGCATGAGCTCCCCACAGAGGTCTTTGGAGTTCCGGAGATCTGGCGATATATCTGAAGAAGTACCTGATTTCGTTTCACTTCGCCCGGCCATTGCGGCGGCGCATGGTGTTGACGCGCTAAAGTCGAAACGTACAAATTTACGTAGCTTCCGAGGTCTTTCATCGCTCGAATCTGGCGATGGGATTCGCGGGATTCTCGGATACAAGAGCGTCATTCTCGATCGAATTTGAAGTTTAATAATGCGAGGGACTCCGACCTTCCCGCTATGGTCATGTGCCAGCATAGCGATCTTCAGCTGGACGTCACTGTCGGCCTCGTTGGCTTCCACGAACAATTTGATGAAATGTGGCATCTGACTTGCTTGACTACACGTCCACGTTCCGGCCATTGCTCTGTGAAGTGCTGTAGATGCATGTCGTATTTTTGTCCAAAGAGCCTTTTTCGCCAAGGGCTTTTTCGATTCTACTCGTTGGGAAGGCTTCTTTAGGTCGATGATTTGCTGTCGAAGCCAGGTGAGCGTACCACTTGCCTCCTTTATTTCTTTTATTCTCGATTCGTAGTTAGATTCATTCATTACTAGGATTAAACCTTCTCTTATACGTTTTCTGGTATCCTTGGATTTCTCTGCCTGTGAGTTCTTAGCTCGTATTCATTCGATCGGAGATGTTGTTTGGCTATCATATACCTGCTTTTCGTCGGGTTGGAAGACCTCTAAATGATCAAGCTCGCTTTCGAACTTCTTGACCATTTCAAAGATGTCTTTTATCAGTTCATTGCACTCTTCGTAATTGGAGCTCATGATCTCGCCGACGCTTTTCTCCAACTGCACATCTCCCCAATCGTGGTGTTCTAGGTTATCGAACATTTCGGCCGTAGTTTTGTCGCCAATACAATGTTGAAGTAAGAGGTGACATTCATTCTCGAACAAACGGCGGTGCAACCTGAACTTTCTATGTATTCGTTTCAGGTCACTGGAAGAATTTTTATATGTAGAGAGCTTATCTGCAATGGTTCTGGTGGATTTGACGGCGAGTAACACAACGCCTAAAACTCCAAGACCAACTTCGGTCATGATTTCATATTGGCAGAGTAGAGAACTATTGAAGAATTTTGTAAGGGGGGGAGGAAAAGGAGAACGGGTTGTTTTTGGTCATACCGACCTGGCCGTCTGCATTGATAAAATACCCAAAGAGAGCCCAATACCCCTCTTTTGGCCCAACATGCATAGCCACGAAGATGCATTCGGAGCTGAAGTTTCTGATGATATTATTGGCCTGCAACATGCATGAGGGGTGGCATAGCCACAAAGTATATGCAAGATGTCAGCATTTTCACACTGCCAGAGAGGCCACCTCCAGCGTGCCTACAAGACAGAGACCAAATGCTCCTCTTTCATCTCCCCAAATCTGAAAGCCTTTCAGATTCATTATTACCATAATCATGTCTACAGGCAAAGACGACGGCCACCAAAAGGCTTCGGGCCCGCCATCACATTTAGGCGCTCAGTTAATCCACATTCAAGACTGGACGAACAAAGCCGTTGAATTAGACAACCGTAGCCCGACCAGTCGATTGACGCAGGAATGTATTTCAATTTTCACGGGAATTCTCGAAAAGCTATCTAGTCTTCCAAAATTTGGAGAGAAAACATACGGCCAACTTAAAGCCAGTTGCAGCTTGCTGATATTGTGGGATAAGGCCCACGGTATCCAAGCTGGCCAGCTTGATGATGCTCTCTCCCGGTCCAGATCCCTGAGGCAATCCATTCTTGAGCCCCTAAGAAATATGGGCAAAGGTATACTCAGAAGTAAGTTGGGACATTAATAAGAAAAAGCATAAACTCATGAGAACATCTCGCTAAGCATCTTCAGGATTGCTACCACTTGTCGAGCAGGACTACGAGGAATCTGAAAGTTATCGCACGCTGATGCCGATAATCTTCGAGGCCGAAGCCGGCATGTATGAAGGCTATGATACTGATTCAGACTCTGATGAGAGTGATATCTGCGAATCCTCACATGATAATTTGGGAGATGACCCCTGGTGTGATATCGCAGAGGATATGAACATTGATGCCCAGTGTCTTCTTGAGCTTGCCCCCTTGATAGAATGTCCTGTCTGGGATTGCAGCCAGGAATCTCATAGGAACTCACCGCCCATGGGAACCTTCAAGCTACATGCTGTCTATGGGGACAAGATCCAAAATAGGTTCCCAAAAGCAGATGCAAGACTGGTCGACCGACTTGCTCTTGCTAACTGGGAACGTTTTCGGGAGACTATGACTGCTAGAGAACACAACAGAGCTACCCTGAAGGACGGTTTGAAGACACAATCGTCCCTGAGAAACGAATCTGCTACAGTGGCACCCTCCGAGCTGAAGTCCAAGTTCAATGACTCGGGGTTGGGCTCGTCGGTCCAAGGAGTCAGCGTCTATGCAGAGACGATTATGTCATACATCCATGACAGTGGGCATACTTCAACCAAAATCCCTCCTCTACCTGCAGAAGCCAAGAAAGGGAAATCATTTGAATGCATCGCATGTGGCATAGCCCTTAAAATCAACAACAACTCCGCCTGGAAGTAGGTACTGGAGTTAGCCAGAGCATGAACATATCGGCTAACATTTGAGCCTAGGAAACATTTATACGAAGACCTATGCCCCTGGATCTGCCTTTACAATGACTGTGCCCAAGGTACTTCAAAATTTCAAAGTCGTGAAAGTTGGATCCGTCACCTTGGATATGACCACAACTTGGCTCCGAATTGGAAATCATTTCAATGTCCTTTGTGCTATTTGCAGGTAGGGGATGGCAAGATAGCAATATCCCGTCATCTTTCGAGCCACATGGAAGAGGTTTCCCTCGGTGTTCTTCCGATTGCTGCTGAGTTCGATATTGAGACCGATAGCGAGGATGAGACCGTTTCGGAGCACCGCTCCATTGATAAGAACTCTATCATTCACCCCACTCCATTTGCTAATCCTCCAGCATCACCCGGGGGCAGCAATGATTATAGCTCATGGGTTAAGCTACAAGTAGAAAGTTTTCCGGGGCGGCTGTATAACGGGCCGACAGGCTCTACTTACCTGGAGCTGAATATGTCGGGGACAGTCCCTGATGACCAGGAGCAGAAATTCGAACAAGATGCGGACTCACCGGGTTTGCCCACCTTTTTCCAGGATGAGACGGCTATGAGAGAATACCAACAAGATGCGGACTCACCGGGTTTGCCCACCTTTTTCCAGGATGAGACGGCTATGAGAGAATACCAACAAGATACGAACGAACCGCCTTTGCCCGTTCTCTTCCACGATGAAATGGCTATGGGAGAATATCAACGTTCCTTTTCCGAGGCCGAAGAAAGAATATATCGAGCAGGTTCAACCTGTGCCACCCAAGACACAGATTCCAGGTCTGGCGAGTATCGATGTTCAATGTGTCAGCAATTCTTCACACTGCAGGAAGACCACGATCGCCATTTCGAATCCGAACACATCTCCAGCCAGGCGGTTTACACATGCAGGTGTGGGTATCGGACTACCAGAAAGGATGTAATAAAACGCCATGTTCGCTCTCGGAGGTGCGAAACATCTGCCCCCGATGGTGTTGATTGTTGCAAATGTAAAGCTTTTGTAACAAATAGTGTTGAGAGCTTCTTGGAACATATCGACTCTCACAAAGGGAAATGGAAAATTCCGCAAAAGAAGATCTGAAGTTAATTTTATATTATTAAAAAGTGAAGCTCAGCAGCAATTGAAGAAGGTTGAGGAGGACGAGGAGAAGAATAAGGATGAGAAGGACCAGACAGACAACATATAAGAAGTGAGAAATATTATAATAAGAATGAATAGTAGCTTTCTTTGATTATTTTATTTAGTTATAGTTATTTGTATCTATATATATTTAAGAATAAAACAAACTAGTCTCTGATTAATAAAGAATAATAGTAGTCGTTAGTAAATCTTTAAAGCTTACTTATTTATAGTGCTCTAAACTTAGATAAGATTAATAAATGTCTAACTAAATAAATATAATCTAACTAGTCTAGTTTAAGGTAGAGAGGCTTTCTCTGGATATCTGAAATATTTATTATACCAGCTATCTTCCTACTTGCATAGGCTCATGGGAAAGATATAAATAAGACGTTGATTATAAAACTCATATTGTTACTGACCTGCACTCTTATGCTGCGATCAGAAAAGAAAGAGAAAAAAATGCATAATAGCGCAAACAAGACTGGATATTCTATCACCGCTACCTCAGCTTATTCTATAAAGAAGTGTTGCGAGCTAATCCAGTGTGGATGCATCTGAGACATTGGTATACAATTCCTTCCGAGAGTGTCCATCTGGCAGCGCTCAAAATGCTGTTAAGAGCGATGATTTTCTATGATCATGTTTCCGAGAACGATGGCGGCCATGCTAGGCTTGCGGTGGCCATAGAATCGGCTGGTAAAGGCTGTTTAGGATGCGGGGAAATTTTTCTATCAAAGTCAGCCAAGCGATCTCATTTTGAGGCATCTTTCTAGTCTCACAATTGTTCGTTGGTAAGTTTTGATTCTGAAGAATCATCCAAGTCTGTGAACCATTCGTAGTTCAAGGCCACGGAAGCGGAGGGTCGGCGTCCGGGTGATGGAGCCATTAGACGTTTAACAAGAGTTTTTGCTGCATCGCTGACATAATTTTTGTCAAGAACTTCTTCTGGGAGTGCTTGATTTCCGTTCACGTATTCCCAGAGCTCGTGGGGATCTTTCATGATAAGCTGGGTCGTCAGCAGTTGAAACATGATCACCCCAAGAGCCCACAGGTCGACAGCGTTAGTGTATATCTCCTTCCTTCTAGAGCCCTTTTCGCGTGGCTTTTCATCTGGAGGATATATAGCCATAACCTCTGGGGCAAGGTAGCCCCTCGTGCCCGCGAACGTACGGAATGCTGTTGACTCCTGTTCGGCCCTCTTGGAAATACCAAAATCGCTTATCTTGACCCACCAATTTGGGGAAGCTTCGGAAACGAGAATGTTCTATACGTTTATTAGCTAAGTCTAATACATTAGCCGAGAAATATCGGTGTGATCTTACTGCCGGCTTTAAATCCCTATGAGCGAAACTGCTTTTGTGCATGAAGCGCAGGCCTTCAAGAATTTGATATACAATCTCCTTAGCCTGAGGCTCCGGGAAAGGGTGGTTTAAATAGCGCCGAAGATCTCCGTTTTCGAAATACTCCATTGTAATGAAGATAGTATCGTTGTTCTCATACCAGCCATACGACTCGGCGAAGCAGTGAACATACTGTGATTCATTTAGTTCACATGGGTTCCTTCGTTGGTCAGTGAGCACTGAGCAGGGTCATACCTTTGACTGGGAAAATTTCGCGATCGCTTCCAACTCTCGGTTGTATTCAATCGGGGCACTTCCATCCCCACACTTCGTCTTCGCTATTACTTTTACCGCACGCAATCGGCCGATATTCTCATTCTTACCATCGACGCACTCCTGGAGCCAAACGTTACCGAATGTGCCGCTACCAATTTTCCGACTTCGTTTCCATGTCTCCTCTACTTTTCTTGGGCGTCGGCGAGATCTGTGGCTTGATATATACAGTGTATGTTGAACAGAGTTACCATCATGATCGATAAGAGCAGTGTCCAACTTCGAGTCTTGTACCAAGTCGTTATTTCTTAAACTGGATGAAACATCCCGTGCTATAGAAATCGGTGGATCCCGTGCGTGTGGCCTGGCCTGACTTTCTTCGACAACATGAGGTTTGTTGGCTTGTTCTGTCTTCTGATGCTCTGAAGATGCTTCAGCATGAGGCCGTGAGGACAGGATGTTCTCTTGATCGGCGTTTGCCCTTCTTGATGGTTCTTCCAGTCGTGGAATTTGAAGGGCAGAGGACTCTATAGTCTTCAAGCTTTTTTTAAACTTAGATGAACTCCTAGGCCTAGTCCGATCTGGAAGCGGGACAGAAGTTCTTCTGGGTTTTGTTGCAACTTGAGATCTCTCGTATTCCACTTCGTATTGTGCTTTCGGCTTGTGGTTGTCAATCGGCATGGGATGCTCTGGATTTATATGAGGTGATCTCGATGCCTTAGCTACGGGCATATTTCGTTCATAATCATCATGAGCGGCACTTGAAATTCTTATTTCGCGACGTTCGCGACGTTCGCGATGTTCTTGACGTATGCGACGTTCTTCGAGTTGCTCTTCAGGAGTTCTTTCAGCCCGTCGGGCGACATAACTTCTTTGTATATCTGGATAGGAATAGTAACCAACATATGTGTCTGACGAAGGGGTCTGCTCCTTACCACTCATCTTAGCAGCTAGACCGAGTAACGCCAGCATTGTCTTAAAGCGGGAGCTTTTCCCTGATTCGGATGGCTTATTATCGATTTTGGGGTCTGGACTCAGCACCCTCGGCCCCCTTCGGTGCACGGCAGTCCGCCGTCCATGCACAAGTCCTTTAGAATCGGATTCATTGGCTGTTGTTCTCTTCTGATTCTGTTTTGATCCAAACCATCCCTGCGTCGATGGCGCTTCTACCGGGTCAGCTAGGCTGCGATGAGTCTTTCGTGACATTTCGCAGGCGTATATGCTGTAGAGTAGAGGAAATTGATATATTGTGTTATCCAGACCCAAATGAGGTGGGCAAAGAGGCAATATTCATCTAGTGCTTAGGTATGAGATGGCGAAAACACCATCCTCGTAGCCCCAGGTTGAGTCACCCTCTTTTAGATGCGATATCTGTACCAATTTTGTGGTAAATTGCTGGGAATGAAGAGGAGAAGGCTTGGTGGTCAGCTGAGAAACAATATTTGTCGCAAAAGTGAGGGGGGCTTAGCTGAGCTGAACGAGATGCATGTCAGCAACCAATTAGGATGCGGTCTGCACGTGTTGTTGTATTCTTGTACTAAACCGGAGGTTATTCCAGGAAAATCCATAGGCGATTATGTGATTACATTTGGGGAGGGCCTGGTGAAGAATGATCGAGCCTTCATTCCTCGAGTGCCATCTAGGAATCCCGCCCTCCGCTGTGACAGAAGACTTTTCGATATTAGTGGAAGACCTAAAACGTCCACTCGCCATGCCTGCAGAGAAATTCTCAAGGAAGATGCAGATAGAAGTCGTAGATCGAAGCCTGCAAGATGGAAGAAACAAATGGACTGCCCTCTTTAGTCGAAAGACCGTGCAAAAAAGAAGAGGAGGAGGAGGAGGAAGAAGAAGAAACCGAGATAACTGAGCAACAGGACAAAATTTTTATAGGTTACTTTCTCAAAGCTTGCCACATATAATTTCGAAGGGGAGGATGCCATGCAAGAAGGAAAGAGAGATGTTGTATCTGGCTGCTCGTCTGCTAGTCTTGTCTTTTCCCCATTGCACAAAAAGCCCTTAGTATCACATTGACGCTGCCTGCAATTCAAATCGTCAAATTGGAAAGGAATCGGGTACATGGACAAGAATCTTGTACCTAGACTTATGGGGCGATTAGCTTTCACCGAATACTCTCGATGTTTAACATGTGTTCCTGACAACACCACTTAGCCAGAGCATCACACCAGTCGGGATGCTAATAATAAATGATTCGGACCGTTGCAATGAGATAGCCTAACCAGAGAAATATGAGATCCGCCTTATGGGCGACGGCACTCGTTACTCCGCTCGTGAGTCTGCCGATATTGTGTCTGTGGAGCCCACGTGGGATTCCGAAGCGCGCGCGTCTGTGAATGCAGGAACGATGAGCTATATCAGGTTATCTCCCCAGAGACGATCGGCCATGGGGCTGCTTCTGGTGGTTTGCATAGTGTGAGACGGTTCGAAAATGAAAGGGTCGGGCTAACTTCATAGGAATAGCTCTCCGCGTCAGTGCAGGCTTCATATTCCTCATGGGACGGGTTATTCCTCCTCCATACCACCCACTAAGTCTGATGGGTGGGCCTGTAACCAGAATCGTCAGGGGCTAAGTCCTGAATGACATACTTTGCTCCCAAATGGGCACTCCTCTATGGATCGCGAGGGATCCTTCCATGTAACCTGGACACCCAGACTATTTATCACTAAATCAGTCGGGTGTTGGATGGCGCGATGGGTCCGATATCTCGTGCCGGTGATGAAGAAGGATGCTTGGGTGTATGAATAAGATCTCTCCATTCTCCCTAAAAGCAATAACAACTCCTCTCATGTGAGCCGTCCTACCTGATGTGGCATCTAACTCACTGTCTGCGATGATCACGCTGGACCAGCCAACACACAGAGCCTTCTCTACGGCGGTGGCATTCGTCGTCCTGACGTTCATTTTTGTAGGACTGCGCCTTTTTCTACGCGCGCGAGCCAAGCAGCTCTCTTTCCTATCCGATGGCCTGTGTTTCGCATCGCTCGTTCTTTTCTGTGCTTTCGTGGGGTTGATGCTGGAGTGTACGTGCCATCTACCCGCTATGCTACTACCGTCCTGCATAGCTTCATGGATTATTGAGGCTGATTGATGAGTGTCAGATATCCTCAACAATGGGAAAAGTGATCCTTTCAAACCGTCCACGCCCACTGATTTGGCCAAATTCTTGAAGGTACGGATAGTCGGCCGCTATTATATAGACAAGAGGCCGTTGGTAATATCTCATTCTCAAGCTGACCATCCCTCTACTTAGATCCTATACGTAGAACAAGTGCTCTTTACTTTCGATATTTCTTTGGTGAAGCTTAGCCTATTGGCCCTGTACTGGAACGTCTTTGGAGTTCACCGCAAAACGAAAATTGTCATCGGGACCGTCACTGTCGGCTGCGTCATATGGTGCATCGCGTTCACCTTCTTGGCTGCTTTTAGGTGTCGCCCCATTGGTTATGCATGGGTGCCAGTCCCTCCTCCTGGTACCTGCATGTCAAGATCGGATGTCTATCTTCCACTAGAGGCTACCAACTTGTTCTTTGATATAGTTGTCTTGTGCATTCCAGTCTTTACCATTGGACAACTAAAGCTCTCGAAAACCAAGAAGATCCCGGTTATTGGGATATTCGTCGTTGGCGTTTCGTAAGTGATCCCAACCAAGAATCATAATCTATCCTGGCTAACTTGAGCAACAGAGTTTGTGTTGCTAGTATTGGCCGTCTCATTGGAATTACGCGAGGTGCGTCGAGACTTCTCTGAGCATGATCTACAATGCATGCTAACAATCTCAAATCTAGGCGATGGTGCCCAAATGTTCTTTTGGTCGTCCATGCAACTAGGGCTGGCAATTGTCTGCAGTTGCCTTCCTTTGCTTGGTACAATAATACCGCGCAAGAATAAAGCCACTTCATATTCGACGAGCGAGTATAATTCGTTTCGCGGTAGAGGAGGCAATGGATCGATTATGAAACTCACCGAAACTGACAGCAGAACTGATTGCCCCTGGATGCAGTCTTCAAACACGCAACGGCCAGAAAGAACACAGAGGGCAAGGGTTGACGAAGGAACAGACTCAGACTACGCTCTGGAATCACTTCCATCAAAGAATACGGAACGGAAAGAAGTAACAGTTGTATAGGGTGTAAAATAAATATTCGCATTCTTTTTGTGTGTTTTTATCTAAATACATGTATACACTTTTGACCCCAGCAGACCCGAGACCGAAGTCTTTCACTTCCAGGTTAAACGGATCTTAAGAACGGTACTCTCTTGATCCGACTAATAGCCTGCACTTCGTGGACAATGTGATGGCCAAGTGCATAAAAAGAATGACACTCATTTTGAGGGCAACTTACAGATCGCCAATGGTGTCTCTGTTGCAAGGGGATTGATCCTCGACCCAGCCCATCAGACGGTTAGCGATATCGCTAGAGTAGCAAGCGTTTGAACGCCCATGGCCCAAATTTCCGTCTTCTGGCATGACGCCCGAATTGTAGAGGAGGGCTCCTTTGTAGTACTTGCTGACGTCGCTGGCGCCGCTTTGTTTGACAGTTTGCTTGAGACCCCATTCGGTGGTGAGACCAACTCCGTCCGTGATCATGCCTACGGAGAGTAGAAATGTTAGTTAATCTTACAGTCTCGTATATTGATCAAGCTGAAAAATGGTTTGAAGACTTACCCTTAATTTGAGCATCAGGGCAAGGGACAAGCTGGGCAATACCCCTCTTCTCGTCGTTGCAAGTATGATCTCCGTTGTCACATTGCAACAGTCCCGGGTTCCGGATGTTTTCATTGCTGGAATACGAGGTCTTGACCCGGACACAGCCAGTGGACTCCTGGAAAACGGCAGCGAGGATGAATCGGGGATCGAGCCCAGTGTCCGTACCAGCCTGCTTGATTGCGGCCTTGAGAACCGTGTTCTCGGAATCCGAGTTGGGCGTAAGGCCAATCGATTTACATGCGCTTGCTGACGGGGCAATGTTGGTAGACCAGCTAGATTGAGTCAAGTTAGTACAATACGCTCCACGGATCTGAGAAAGGCAGAGCAGTATTACAGAGTTTCAAAATCGGCCCAGTTGGATACATCAGGCCAGCCGTCTCCAACAGTTCCGTCTCCTTTGTAATTCTTGTATGCAACGGCTCGAGTTTCCAAAGGAAATCGGGATGGAGAAGCGTGGGCAAGGCTAAGCATGCCACTTGCAGCAAGGATGTAACGAGTAGTAGCGACCATGATTGCGATGGGGGAAATGTGAGGCTGTTGTATTGTCTCTGGGAAACTTGGGTGCTTTAATCACAAGAATGAGAGGGCAGACTTGATGGTTTTATATGTCGACTAGTCCCTCTCTCTTGTTGTTGAAGCCATGACTTCCATCAAATTTCTTACCGAGCCACACAAAAGAGGAAGGTGAGGGTAAGAGACATGAAGAAGAGACACACTTTTCCAACATGGATATGAGAGATGTTTGGCCAAGCGAGCCTCTATGGCCTGATTGACTGACAGCATTAATCATCTTCTGTTGCCCTATAGGGTTGTGGTTAAGGTAACAATCCACAGCCCCACGGACATGACCCAATGGCAATGAGGGAGTATCCGCTGAACTGGAGTTTCCGAGTATATTGTCGGAGGTTCGGACTGTTCATGATATGGGGTTGTGGATATTGAGTGGCGGGAACCGAGAGTTGTCGCGTTCGTATCTGGGATGCACCGCCTCAGGTTACGAGCAACTTCTTGTTTGCTGACCGGCCTGTGAAGGCGGAGCGCAAAGAACGTGGTTTCTAAAGGCGACAGGAAGCCCTGAAACCTGCACGTTATTTCCGCCCACTGGGTTAGGGATCCTGCATGGTGACCAGGGAAAGAATCCAGTCGGATTAATTGGCGTGCGGACCGGAGAAAGTGTACCGAGACAAGACGAAAGGCTAGTAAAAAGAATTACACATTCGTCGAATGTTATCAATAGCGAAACAACAGTCACCTAGTCACAGAGCATAGCAAAAATGAAGGCTACTAGGGTACCGCAGACATAAAGTAACCCGGGCGTGACGCCGCCACATTACATTACTACATTGTCCGAGGGTTTCAATTGAGTCCTTAAAACAGAGTTACCCGAAGCCAGAAAGCTGAACGGAAAAAAGCTGAGTGCACCTGCTGGTCTGGGCCGTAGGATTTTGACCCCCGCCTTGCATTTACCGGGCTTGTATCGATCGAAGAACGAAGCCTTTTCGGATCGTTCAGAGACAACAAAGTTCTCATTGATGCAATGTGATCGCCTTTACCGTCGGATATTTTACAGTTCATAGACAGAGATACAAAGTAAAGTTGGCGAGGGCATATAATCGGTAAAGTACACGTCGGCATTAACATCTATAGAGCCAATGATCAATTGTCCTGGGCTTCCCCATATATTTCTATTTTTAAAGGTGAGCAAATTACATCGGAATAGCCAGACTGCGGTGAGCTATTCACGAGGCATCATTTTATTAACCAGTGTGCACCAAACCTCCGCCACCAGGGGCCACCAACACGTGGCTGGCATCGTTCGATGGATTATTCACCGCCCGAGGCTTACATGGCAGCGGGGCATCCTTAAAACTTTCACGCAATGAGTCAACTGTTAGTAATGCCCGGGCCTTTTCATTTGTTCCTTCGCAACTACAGACCTTGCTATGGCGGATGTATGTGGGTTCTATCAAAAGATCAAACGGCAAGGTCTTTACGGTCGTCCCGCATAATTTAGCTCTGAAGCTTTTCAATCTTAAGTTTGATAACAAAGTTCGATACATATATAACAAAATTATGCTCATCTTGCTCTACTCTTAAATACTCCTTTCTTAGCAAACTTCCAATCCTTTCCTTTGATACACCGAAGAGGGGGAAATTGTTTTACTAGATCTACTTGTATTATGAATGCAACAAAAGCCGTGTGTCCGAAACATGAAAACAAACCACTGATGATAATCATGGAACGCCCGCCCTGAAACTATACGATTTACCCTCTTTGAAGGATTACAAGTCCTTTGTTCAAAACAAGAATTCGAAATGGACTACCAACCACTTGGTTAGAACCGGCCTTGGAAATTGTACATCATATATCATCACGGACAATTCGATCTCTCCTGCATATCTATATCTCTGAGTGGGCTGGCGGCTGAGAAGCAAGAAAAGCAGCCAACATCTGTATCATTACATTGTACTATTATAGAGCCGATAAACGAGATGTTGCGGCTTTTTATAGAACATTTTCCAACATAAACTAATTTTGATAAATATTCACTTTCCATGGGTTTAACTTGAGCGCCACATGATTGAAAAAGATACTTTCACCGGCTAAGTGTGAGCATCACAAAAGATTACCAATGTATTAGGGAATGACCAAGCAGGGTGCGATTTCCACTTCCTTTGCAGCAATTAAATAGAGTGGTTTTTGATATATGGTCGAATGACCCTACGTCAAACCTGAGGGAGTGAAAGTGGCCAAGTAATAGGGTGGCCATCTACGGGTTTAGGGTAGTTCAGCAGCCAGGTAATACTAGTTCAGGGGGTGGTGGTTTGAATCAACCTTGAATTCGAAAACCTCACACATCGAGCTGTCATTACCCCACTGAGGGTCTCCTGAGATATGTGGTGGACCGTGAGTTCGGGACGAGATGAAGCCAATTCAAAAATCCCGCTTTTAAAAATCCCTGAGGCTAGTCGAAGCGGGTTTTGGCGAGGCACAGTCTTATTCGTTGATATGTGGCGACTGGAGTAATGAGTGAAGATGTCAATCTGCGCCATGGAAGCTCACTGCACTCTTTCTTTGCGCACGCAGGTATGTATGTTCGCGCTGCACGTGAAATTTCCGGTTAATCCGGTTACTTTACGTATTTCGCGTGGAGGAAAAGCACCGAGAGACTGACAGCCAGAGCTGTCCTCGATTACCCCTTACGGCTGACGACAGTAGCTGGACTTTAGCTCTGTCGATCATGGACCAAAGCTGGGAGACCCATTTCATTGTCCCAGGACTCCCACCCAATCGACGTCTTACTGCGAGTCGTGTAATACGCGTTTTCGCCGTTTGAGGAGACTCATCTCCCCCGGACTGGGGCAGTGTGGGAGATGGGGATTGTCTTGCCCACACGCAACTTCAATGCAGCGGGGAGAATAATGTCTCAACGATTATTAGCTGCCCACCAAGTTCTTACGGCCCTAACACGAAGCTTTTTGTTGGCAGGGAAATACTCAGCATGGTACTTCAACCCTGAACTGTCCTGCTTATCACCGCTCACTTGGTTCCGGCTTATTTGGTTCCGCGAGGTGAGCGGAATTTGTGATGTCTCTAGATTGGATGACGCTTGAATAGGTATGATCGGCTCGTGATCAGCTCGTGAGCGAGTCATTCCACCGTCTCGGGTCAGCCCCATCAGGTATGGCCCTGAAGGTCGCGGAAACCGGAATACTTAGCTTGTGGGTCAGAGTGCAGATCTGCTATGGTCAAACCGAAGTGCGCCGTGCCGCTGTAAATTCCATTGTTAGTCCCTCATGCCAAAGCCCTACTAGCTCCCATAAGCGATCAAGATCATGGGTATTGGCTGAATCTCTGTCTCCGTGCCTACGTGCTAGCCAGTAAGACCGTACTAGTGTCATCCCCATTTCCTTGAGCTCATCTAGTTGTCCGATCGCCGTTGCAACTTACTCTTCCTTGATGGATTTGTCGGTGATCGTCATAGAAATCCAGCTCAAGCATACATTAGCGGCAATGTACACACATGCTGGGGTACATATGTGGCGACACGTTTGTAAGAAAGATCTTGCATGCATAAGTAGTTCCGCCCTGGTTTCTTGCATTTCTTTTTCCTGACCGAAGCCTGCTTCCAGTCCCTCCTCTCTTTTGCCCTTACACCGAGCCAATTGTGCATGCAAAGATCTTTGCTTGTGTTTACCGTCGAGGCTGAGCCTCGCTGGACCTTTAGAGGCACATCCACTCCTTTAAGTCTATTTATCGCCTTATAACCTTATTCCACCAGTATTTGCTACCATGGCGAGTAGCGACGGTGGCGTCTCAAGCGCAGAGGCCGTCACGGGTCCGTATGTTCATACTCTGTTGACATCTAGACTCAACTGTTTGCTGACCCAATATCGTATAGTAACTCTTACGTCATCCTCGTATTTACTTGTATTTCCATCTACAATGTCATCGAACTCACATTCATCATTTGGGGCGCCTTCAAGCGCCACTCCGGGCTTTATTTCTGGTGTTTCATGGTCGCAACTTACGGTATTCTTATTTACGCCATCGGTTTCGTGATCAAGGCTTTCATACCGCAGGGAACCACATACATATATTGTTCGTTCATCGCGGTGGGGTGGGTAGCCATGGTATCAGGCCAGTCGCTTGTGCTGTGGTCCCGATTGCACCTGATTGTGCGGGACAAGTTCAGGCTGAAGGCAGTCTTGTGGATGATCCTTATCAATGCAGTCATTTTGCATATTCCTACCATCGTCATGTTATTCGGCGCCAACGGTTCGGAACCTGCTAAATGGGTCAAGCCATACGAGTGAGTTAAGGTGACCCTCAACGGTCGAAGCTTTTATAATTAACAGAAAAATAGAATTTATGAGAAGATCGAAGTGACAATCTTCTTCGTTCAAGAGATTATCATCTCATCTTTTTATATTGTCGAGACCCTCAGGCTCAGCAAATTACAGGTCGTGATGCGTAACAAGAAACGCTCCCGAAATCTCATGTATCATCTCATCCTTGTCAACATTCTCATCATTCTCCTCGACATCACCATCCTCGGCCTCGAGTACGGTAATATGTACGACATCCAGACCGCATACAAGGGTCTGGTATACTCGATAAAGCTCAAGATGGAATTCACTATTCTCAACAAGCTCGTCGAGATGACTACGGGTACAAGAGAGCCCAGCTCCAGCGACCAAGGCAAATCGTCGACTTATGGGCCAAAGACCGTAACTGGCCACCCCATCGAGTTGAAGACTACGACAGCTGGGAAAGAAACCGCCGTGGGCCGCGATCCCAATGTTTCGTATCAGGCATACGCGCAGGGTGGAGACAGCGAAGAGGATATCACTCACTACCGTGGTACTCATCCATCGAGGGCGGACAACATCTCCGGGGTTGTGATGACAACGGAGGTCTTAGTCCAGAGGGAGGAGAGAAAGACGGAGTCAGATAGTGATACCATTCAAGAGCCAAGTTCCGCGGCAAGGCCGGACCCCAAGCGGGATAATACGGATAGTCTGTCTACGTCATCTTCAGAGCTTCATTTAGCAACGAATCGGGGCTTCTAGATATATGATAAAGATATCATAGAGCGGTGGTGGATAATATTATTAACAGGGTCAAGAGATACCCTTTATAGGATTTTAAACATTTGTCCGGGAGACAACGTAATTGCAGTGTCCATGTGTATTTTATATTCCTTGAATTTCTATTCTCAATCTTAATATATCGCAACCCTGAATCCTACAAATATGAGGAAACAGGGCCCGGTGGAGAAATAAAAAGATCCGATCCCAAGACTTGACCAGAGTAGACATGATTTGATGCAGTTAGGTGAAGCAAAATGCAACACTGAAAGGCTTAATACCCGTCACCAGAGCGTCATGCATTGAACATGGGAATGGAGGACCCTAGTTAATTACACGTTTGAACTTATGTTTATAGGTTCATTTTGGGCCTCAATGGGCGCGGCAATGAGGCGCGAAAGGCACAGTAAAGCGCCCATAGAAACGAGTATTGCTGATGACCAGGGTTAGAAGCTTGAATCAGCCATGGGCTCTCTTCGTACCTATGCGACAGTTGATGGATATCCGGCATTCACCAAGCAGGCAGATTATAAGGGGATTCTATACCTTCCACATCGGGGCAAAGACCATGCAATAATAGTAAGCTTAAGACCCCCGTGAATGTCGTTGTCAGACCCGCGCGCGGGCACATCTAGGAAGGTGAGCAACATGTCGCAGGGGTCTTCGGGAGATGCAGAGAAGTTGTTTCCGGCGCGTATAATCCTACATTCATGGGTTTAAATTATAAAAGTACAAGTGATTGCTCCAATCAATATGGTTGTACAAAGCTTTGTTAACAGCCTAACGCATGATCTCCTACTAGGTGGTTTTGCGACCGGCTCCATCACATTTTGAATTACTCTCTTCGTTGCCAATATGAGAGCAGCATTGCTGGTCTCCCTCTTTGGGGCTGCGGCCTTCGCGAACGCTGTCGACATTGAAAAATTCCGTTTGAAGTCGTCGACGAAGTACGTAAAAGCTTCGGATGCCGTGAAGGCAGCGAGGTTGGTGAAGAGAGGTAGCGACTATATTGATACGGCTACCGAGCTCGTGAAGAGTGTGGCACCGGACGCCGGATTCCGTGTTATCACGGATCACTATGTTGGTACTAATGGTATCAGTCATGTGAATTTCCGCCAGACGGCTAATGGCATCGATATTGACAATGCCATATTCAACGTTAATGTTAGTTCTCGGAATTAGCTCAGAGACCTACCTTGGAACAATATGTTAATTGAATCGGTTCGCTAGATTGCCAAAGATGGCAGTATTTTCTCCTATGGAAGCTCGTTTTTCAATGGCAACTTGCCTTCGAAAGACTCTACCTCACAACTGGGGGCCGTTGAGGCGCTTGGAGTTGCCTCGAAGACTCTTGAGCTGGGCATTGAAACCTCTGACGGCTCTGTCTCCGAAAAGGACGGTGCTTGTATCATTAATGGCATCTCCGGCACCAAGGAAGACCCAAAGAGCAAGAAAGTCTACATAGTGAAGCCTGATGGAAAGTTGGCGCTCACTTGGAAAGTCGACACCAAGGTCAAAGAGGCCTACTACTCTTCCTACGTTGATGTGGACTCCGCTGAGGTTGTTGGAGTTTCTGATCACGTTTCTCATGGCACCTTCCAAGCCTAGTAAGTCATTCGATTCTAGGTATGAATCAGTAGGACAAAGGGCTGACGAGACCTACCAGTCCCATCGGAATTAATGATCCCTGGGAGGGCGAACGCTCAATTATCGTAGACCCAGAGGAGACCACAGCTTCCCCGAACCGTTGGTTGGAGACGTACTATGGGTACAACTGTACAGTTGGGAATAACATCCAGGCTGCTGTCCTCCCGCAAAGTGGGCGCGTCACCTTCTCCGAGCCCAATGCTGAGGGCACGTACGTCTTCGATTACACCCCTGATGGAGGCGACCCAGTTACGTTCCGTGATGCGGCTGTAACCCAGGCATTCTACACTACCAACATGCTCCACGACCTTTATTACCTCCTGGGCTTCACTCCTGCCGCTGGCAACTTTCAACGAGACAATTACGGACAAGGTGGTCTCGCGAATGACCCTGTTCAGGTGTATATCCAGGTTTGTTCAAGTTCCCTCAGCCCTACATGTCTTATTCCACTGTATATAAAATTCTGTTGTATCTGCGACTGACGAGATTAATGTTCAATAAAGGTTTGGAATGGGATGAACAATGGAATGTTTTCACACTCAGTGGATGGTGAGACACCAACATTAACGATGTACCTCTTCGATAAAACGGATCCTCAGCGAGACGGAGCTTTCGACCAGGGCTTCTTGATTCATGAGTATACCCATGGCCGTGAGTTTGAAATCTATGGCCAGCTTCACAAGTGAAGCATCTGCTGATCAGGAACAGTTTCTGGACGTTTAACCGGTGGACCTGCGACTGATACTTGCCTCGACGACTGGGAAGCTGACGGGATGGCTGAAGGATGGAGTGATCTCTTCGCCTCTGCCCTGGCTATCAAGCCCGATGACACAAGCGCCACAGCAGAGTATGGCTTCGCAGCCTGGCCTCTGAATGCGACCAATCCCCGCACCGCACGCCTGGTCATGTATTCTACCAACCGTGATATAAATAACTGGACATACTCCAACGCCAACGGCCTGGAGAAGGTGCACCAGGTTGGAACGGTCTGGGCCACAATGCTGTATGATATCCTCTGGAGCCTCATCGACAAGCACGGAAAGAACGACAGCCCTCGCCCGGACTTTGATGCAAATGGCGTGCCCACGGACGGTAAATTCTTGATGCTCAAGATTCTCACCGATGCGTTCGCTATGTAAGTGCTAGAGGCTTTCCATAATACCATGGATCATGCTAATGTGAACTTGAAATAGCCAACCTTGCAACCCGACTTTTGTCCAAGCTCGTGATGCCATTATTGACTCTGACCAGGCCCTTACGGGAGGCGTCAACAAGTGCGAGATCTGGAAGGGGTTCGCCAATCGTGGTTTGGGTGCAAATGCGGTGTTTGATGCGACAAATCGGGTTGATAACTTCGATCTGCCAGATGGGGTGTGTTCGTAGTTTGTTGCTTCTCTTGAGACGGAAATAGTTGCTTGATGTGGGTTGACAAATGATTGAAATGATGGAACGGAGTATACTGGAAATATGCCTATGCAGAGATGAGAATACACGATAGTCTTGTTGGTTTAAGCATATGAAGAGCGAAACACACAAATCGACTCCGACCCGTCTTCATGACCAGATTTCAGTCGTCCGATCGTTGAAGACAGTCATGTGGCTGCTTCGCGCCGAATCAAACAAGTAGTCGGCATGCGGGCATGTTAGGTTATCACACATATATGAGTTCTTGAACGAACAGAGTTGAAAGTTTCAAACTGGACATGTTGGATGGCATCCGTCTCCCGTTCCTGAACGGTGCAGATCCATGCCCACAACAGGCAATTAGCAAGCGACGAGCGACAACCGGTACCCGAGGAGCGAGGAACGAGTGACTTTCACACCTCGCCCAGATCTTGGCTTCAAGGGATGTTTCTCAAAGGAGAAGGCATTTGAAGCCCAAGTTCGCATCTATGCAGTAATAGCTTGCATGTCGTCAACGGCTGAATACATGAGGTCACAAAGCGGTGTCAGGAATGGTCGAAAGTTGTGTGCTAACCCCGCAACCAGAACATTGGCTCCGATTGTACGATGATGCAACATTTCCCCCGGCTTCATTGATAAATATAATTGGCTTGGGCATGGTTGCTCAGTCCACTCTTTAACCACACATCCTTGGCTTCGGTCCTACTTAGCTATGCCGTAATAGTAAGTCGGATTGCCTTCTTAGCCTTGGCCTTTGGGAAAAAAGAAACGCAAGATAAATAGACTGCTCGTCAGGAATTAAATCTGACTGGGACGGTGACAGTGGCAGTCTGATAGATCGGCCATCGCTTCCGCCATCATTCTCTCCCCGAATCTGGACTGCCGGCGTCGATCATGAAGCCTGTCACACCTCAACGTTCAGTGTTTTGGACACTGGTTGGCCTGTATCTAGCCACCAATGTCCACGGACAGGAAGGACTGTCTATTGATATTCCAGCCGAAATCCCGCTGGGTGCGTCAGACGAAGTTGACCCAGATTTCCTTGGCCTTGCTTTCGAGCAGACGGCCTGGGTCCGGTATGCCACTGATGACGCCGAGGGTTTAAACATTTTCAGTAACAACCTCATCAACGCCATATACTCCCGGACTGGCGGCAAACCGATCATCAGACTCGGTGGCACCTCGCCGGACTACGCCAAATATCTCCCTGGCCAAAAGGAGCCTGCGCTTCCCGTATCCGAGCAGGATAACTACCAAGACATCGGGGGTACCACCATTGGTCCCAGCTACTGGCCTATCGCCAAGCTGTTTCCAGATGCCAAATTCATGGTCCAGGTGCCGCTCGCGACAACTAACATCAGCGAGACCGTTGCCTGGGCCCAAGCCGCTGTCGAGGGTATTGGAATCGACCAGATTCACTCGATCCAAGTCGGCAACGAACCCGACCTATATAGGGATGACTTTACAGGTGAAGGCGGCATGTTTCTCGGGCCACCTGACTTCCAGGGAAAGCTAAACAACGAGACGTACATTGGAAACTACACCAAATACGCTGCCGCAATCCGGGATGCCATCAACCTCCCAGATCACTTTTTCACAACCTTTGATGTAGCGGCTCACGTGGACACTCCCTGGGTGTCTCAGTGGATTCTTGACGTCGAGACTGGTTTCGGTCTAGGGATCGATGCCGACAACATCGTCAAGGAAGTCGCACACCATTACTACCAGAACCACGCGGGCGAGGCGGAAGACTTGGAATCCGGCCTCATGACCATGAACTTGACTCACACGAACCTGGATTATCTCAAGCGGCACATCAACTGGCTCAAGCAGAACCGCCCGGATGTGCCATTCATCATCAACGAGATTGGCAACTCGCTGAAAGTGACCAACTCATACCAGTACCAGGCCCGTCTCGGCAGCGCGCTTTGGGCTGTCGACTTCTACCTGTACTCGCTGTCGATTGGGGTTTCGCGCTTCAACTACCAGCAGATCATGCATTCCGGGTTCGACCTCTGGCTGCCCCACGCAAGCGGCGGGTTGCCAGCCCAGGTTTTCTCCAACTATTATTCACAGCCATTCTTGGCAGACTTTGTCGGGCCATCAGGGAAGACGCGGGTGGCCAAGCTCGACGTTGTCAATGGCGAGTCAGTACCTAATCTGGCTGCGTATGCTGCGTTTGAGGATGGGGTTGCGAAGCGCATTGCCGTTGCGAACTTGGGGTACTGGAACAGAACATCGTCAAGCTTTGATCGACCGGTGGCATCCATCAGTCTGAATCTCGCCTCAGAGACTGGTTTATTGACGGTCGCTCATCTCAGCAGTCCGGACGGTGCTGGTGCCGGCGCAGAGACTATCACTTATGCTGGGAGTCAATGGACGTTTGAGGGCCTGGGAGAGGAGGTCAAGGGCATCCGGAATGACACGGAGGAGGTGGTTGTTGAGAGTGGCGTTGCTGTCATTAAAGTACCAGCCAGTGAAGCTGTCATTATCTATCTGTAACTAGGTCATCTTCGTCGCATGTATACTCAGGCAGACTGGAATGAAGTCAACAGGACTGATATTCATCGAGGAGTTCGCCTGAGAAACGAGGGGAGCGAACCACCGCTAAGAGGCGGCCCGCGACGGTGCGAATTAGGGGCCACCACCCGCTAAAAACTGCTAAAACGCCTCTGTCATTAGCGGACGCCCAGTTCAGCCATCCGGGCCAATATAATTTCATGTACGGCCTCAGCTCTTAATAAAACTGCAACTCGTCTCCAAGGCATTGGATGAGATGGCGATCAGGCGCAACACTATTGTGCAGTAGTACAGCCGCAGAAGCGTCCTGCAATCTGCCTCACCGCACGTGCGACCAACAACTGCGCCCCGCTCCAGCTCTGCGTCTGGTTTTAACCATCGCTCAGTCCCCCACTTGAGGCCTCATCGTAACAAAATTCATCCGCCCATCCACCACTTCCTGGCCCCATGAGACTGAGACATCAAACGGCCAGCCCGTGTCGTTCGTGTTTCGACTGCCCTGATGCCGCCCGCCCCCCTGGCGGTGCCCTTCTCCTCCGCCGTAGCCCTCCAGTCCTCCAGCATCGACAGGCTCCCAACCACCTTCAGGGCCAGGGGCCAACCGCTGCAGTATACGAGAGACAACATCGAGGACTTCCTCACCTGTGAGCTCCGCACCAGCCGGCTGGATGACGTCCACCAACACTTGTGGCTAGCCGGGCTGCCCAGGCCCGCGCACGCCCTCCATCGCCAGGTCTCGTTCGGCCGCAGGATTCTCATCTCCGAGGACCCAAACGAGCATCTGACATGGCACCACTCCTACAACAACACCTTCGTCTTCATCAAGCCACTGCCCGAATTTCTACTGGACTATCAGTTCTGGAAAACGGGACTGTGCGACAACCACGCCCTGCACAAGAGCGCGTGCGGCCTCCTCCTCTCGTACGCGTGGCTCATCGGCCACCGCAGCGACCTCAAGATAGCCCACAAGGAGTCCCTCGTCCCCGAATCTGTCACCTGGGAGGCCTGGCTCAGCTTCATGGACGCCTTCATGTCATACATCGGCGACCCGGACCTGCAGACGCGCGTCGACCGCCGCTACGCCTACGGCGACCTGCGCATCTCGCGCCTCAACTCGCTCTACCGCTTCGGGTACGCGGGGTGGTCGCTGCACAAGCTCGTCCACGGGTTCATGTCCGGCTCGACGAGGTACACGGCCTTCTTCGAGAGCAATTTCGGCTGGATGCTGGCCGTCTTCGTCTACCTCAGCGTCGTGCTGTCGGCGATGCAGGTGGCGCTGGCGACGGACAGGCTGGCCAAGGATGAGCGCTTCCAGGAGTTTTCGTACGGATTTTCCTTGCTGTCTATTTCGATTGTGCTGGGGGCCATCTTCCTCATCTTCCTCGTGTGGGTATCGCTGTTCTGGTTTCATCTGTTGTCTACGAAGCAGTACTGCAAAGCGGTGGCAGCGCGCAGGGAGAAGAGCGAGCGTGAAAAGGCATAACGGGATATCACGGGTGCATACGTTCATAATTAACGGCATTGGTAATCATTTCTTGGAGCATAGCGGTAGCGCAGCGGCTAGAGAGTGTATTCTCATCAAAATTACAGGAGAATTTGTTTTATTCTTTCCCCTACAAGGGCGAATCCGCCTCGTGATGGACCTCGACCTGCTCGCACAGCAACTCCTTCTCGAGCATGTAGTTGCCCACCTTGTACTGCTCCGAGGGGCGGGGAGCGTTGACGTACATCCAGCCGACCAGGGCGTCGCACTTTGCGCACGAGATGTTGCGGACCGTGTGCCGGCCGGTCGTCATCTCCATCTCGAACGGAGGGCTGGCGTGGATGTTGCTCGTCTCTTTGAATAGGAAGGCCGGCCCATCCCGTCCTTGGTACTTCTGGTGCTGTAGCGGAAGACGATTAGCCTAGATTCACTGCGGACCCGAGAGATTGTTACATGAGCAACAGCTATCTGGAGGTAAATGAACTCACTCTGGCGATACGGCTACGCTCAAGGGCAAGAGGAACCTCACAGGTCTTGCAATCGTAGACCTTGGCCTGCTGGTCGACGGCTGGTGGGACTTGGATCTGCATGGTTGGGCTGGGGTAATACGGGTTCAATCGTGGATTGGGCGTTGTCTAGAGAGAGAGCCTGGAGTGCGCCCAGCCAATTCAGCAGCGGGGGACGGATGCAAAATAATGCTCAGCGTTCGCTGGGTATTTGAGGCAGTGCAGAGGAGGACGGCACAATTGTGATGATGGGAGCACGAGGAAGGTGAAGCGGGGTTAGCAGCAGCCTAAGACAAACTCACGGCGATTAGACATGTCACGGGACTTGAATCATTTACGATGATTGCTGCCTAGTCTGGACAAAAGGTCGCTATTGGTGATGCCGGCGGACGCCTTACAAGCCATTTCGTCAGGCGGTCTGACACGACAGGGATCGTTATCGTTGTGCAGGCCATTCACATTCCGAACGCATCTCGGTCGTATGTTCGGAGTAGCCATTTCGCCGTGAGAGACATCATGTCTCTTCCTGTAAATAGACCCTCTTTGGACAGTCAGGAAGATCGAGACCATGTACAGCTATTAATGCTGTGTTTATCCAAGTTCAATTTATATTCACTCTGATTCAATACTGGTGTTCATGTGATGACATATCACTAAGCACATCAGCCACATCACCGCTGTCTCACCATCCTTATCATACGGCTTAAACTAGCTCCATGATTTAATGCCGTGTATCCGTGTCGAAATAGTTGTAATCACCCAATAATTTAATTTTCATTCTCTGTGCCATAGAGACGATGAAGTTCCACAACATCGTTTGGCCCCATCGAGACTGCCTCCACACCATAAACAAACAAATAAACAAGCAAGCAAGCAAGCAAGCAAATAAGCAAATAAACAGACGAACCCCGCAAAAGGAGGTATTTTGAGTTTACACACAGCATGCTTATTCAACATATTGAGTTAAAATCCAAGAGTTATCACGAAAGCTTAACAAAAGGTTTGCGCCCAAACCTTCGCATCTGCATTCACAAAGTTAGCTCCCACCGCAACCTCCAATGGAACATACCAAAGCAATAATATAGACTACGGACCCTTTATGTCAGCTCTGAGAGTTAACGTTGGGCGCTAGTTGGAAAGATTTGAAATGGTTTCCTCTTTAAGCAACGCAGTGACCTAATATTCTGAAAGAAGATTAATCTGGTCTAAATTGACTACTAATTTCATATATGCTTGAGCCATCACGTTTTCGATCACTTTGTGTTCATCTTGCGTTTTTTATCTTGGTTCTAGGTAATAATTTTTCAGGTAATGTTTTTCCTTCTTAGATTTCCGGAACTGCTTTCCTCCTTTGCCGCATTAAACCTTCATCTACCTAGCTTCCATACACAAAGTTCCTGGGTTATCGCCCACGCCAGTCCTACGACCATCCCTCCATATCGACCGAGTCTTCCCTGTCCTCTTGTTGGCCGAGCAATTGCCCATCAGATTGGTCCCAGGTACTATATCCTGTTGGTCCCTGCTCGGTTTGGTGGCTCGCCAAATCCGCGGGTTCATCACCATATGGCACTCCGCCTAATCAATTCGCCTCCAAAGATGAGTAGGTGGCGTGGTATCGCTCCCGGAACATCATAATTATACAAGCGTGCTTGAAGATATGTGTATGGAAGGATGTGGATGTGAGGATAACCCGTACCGCACCACACTTGAGATTTTTCAGGGAGAAATCATCTAGGGAAACAGCCAGGAAGTCCGACTCATAGGGGAAGGCAATGGACACCCTGCTTTGAGTAACCGGCTTCGAGGACTGACTAGGTATCAAAACTGAAACTTAGTCCGGTTATGAAGAGGAACACGCCCGATGCAACGCCGGCGATGAATTCGAGAATGATACGATCCTCCAGGGGCTGCTTCGGGTATACGGCGCAAGAGTAATGTGTCTATCGAGCTGCGCACATATCTTATCAGTATCAGTCTCTTCTATTTGGAATATATGGTGCCGATAGTTCTGTTTGCTCAGGAGATAGAATGGTATTACTTTCCAACACTTAACAACCATCAAACCCCTAGACGTCCAATGATAACAACCGCAGGATGGTAGGCTGCTATGCGGCCATGTGTTGATCCTTCCTGATCCTTCGCCGTAATTTATCCCACCTTCAACACGCTTCTCGTGTAAGCGTAGCAGCGGCGGATCTTCATCCTGGGTAGAACTCATACGGCCATTATAGTATGGAAACTGTCAGGGTAAAATGCGAATCCCGTTTCATCAAGTCATTCTCGCAGATAGATTGCTTATCTCCAAAGTGCGGCATCATTAAGTTGTGATTACATTTAACTATTAGGCCTGCGACCTGTCCAAAGCTTCGCGAAGAATAGGATCTCTCCCACCATCACCGCTCGCGGAGTGAGAATCTTACCCACTGCCCGATCCAACTCTGTGAATTCGTCCAAGAGATGCTCGCTCTGGGTTTCGTCTGCCAGCTCCAGTGTCAAATATACCCCCCGAGGAGTGACTGCGGCCATGGATGGCTCAAGGCGCCGCAGAAATCTAAGATACTTCCAGATGTGGACACAGAGATCTTTGAGCTTGGTGTAATGTGTATCCGCCACAGGCCAGTTGTAGAACTGGCTCCAGTGGTAACGCATCTGGGATAAGAAGACGTGAGCACAGTGTGCATGGAGCAAGCTGTAAGCCAAAAACGGGCTGGAAAAGCTGTAGCTTGTCCCTGACAGAGAATGAGGATCTTCCTCCTCAACGATGTCTCCTCGTTCAATGCATTTGGCCACCATCGCCGCAAGTAATGTATCGATATTTTCGGCGGTCTCTAGCATATCCTTGCCTAGCTCTGAATTGCTCATCTGGAGGTATTTACCCGCGGAGGGATTCCAAAGAGCCTGACAGCCGTTGACATACACTGGTGTCATGTCAGAAGCACTTGCGGATGCGTGCAGGACCGGGAGCATTGACTCAGTCAGCTCCTTGTCCACCTTAGTCTTGGACCATGTGATTCCCATGGGATCTCTCCACGAATCCTTGTTCAAGCTATCCTTCCAACCCCTCACGAGGGCATGTGGAATCTATATGAGTTACTCTATCGATCAGCCTCTAATATTCTCGTACCTCTAACTCTCAGAAATATTGATGGGGGAGTCGCGGGGAATTCCCTCTCGCCCTTCCCGTGTTTTGAACCAACGGTGGCACATGCTCACAAGGTAGATAGTTGGAATGGGGCAAGGAAGAGAGAAAAAGTGAACGTGGGGGTTTTACCGTACAAGAAAATTATATACTTCACTCAAAATAGAGATATAAAACTTGTCGCTGGGCTTCGGCGGGCCGATCGCGGTAACAAGACTCGTCATGCCGCTTGCATGCAGCATTCTACGTTGGCTAGGGTTGAACAGTTCTTCTACCAGATGAAGAACCGTCACAGACGCCAGTGTCTCCGCCGTGCGTGCTTCATTACTCGCCAAGACCAGACGTAGGCTTTTAATGGCCCTTCCATATTCGGAAAGGCCAGTGAAATCGACCGCTGGCTTCTGGAGGAGAAAGTTGGTCAAGACGACATAGAATAGACTGATGGAGTCGCACAGACTCTGGTGCACGCAAACGCGTTTGGGCATTTCCTTGAGGTACCTCGCCTGGATCGCCCTCCCACGGTTCGCACCCGCATTCAGGTGACTGACCAGTTGCGCGGCGACGCGATCTCCAGCAGTCGAGGGTGGAGGTCGGGGCACACTGGACCGAGGGCGTACTGCCACTTGAGAACTGCGAGGCTCTGTCGCTTTCCCCTTGAGCGAGACCCAAGGCGCTTGCCCGGGACAGGCCAGGTTCTGCCGATGGCACGGTGAACATACGGGCCACTTCTCGTCGCACTGTGATCAGGTCAGCCAGCTATACAGGGCACATGTAACACGGACCAGCCGTCACGTACCTTTATCTTTCGGATCTTGCATAGCCTGCAGCCTCTCGATCTGGGGCCGGCCATGGCGGGGGTGAGATGTTGGGGTTGCTGAGCACCATGGCCTCTGTTGGGGCTGTGCTTTTATCTGCGGAGGAGGTCGTGAATCCTTGATTCGTGACTCCCCTTGACCAGGGCTGACAAAGCACTGCCCCCTGACGCCGGCAAATACCTATATCAGGGGCAGGATTGCGGCAATTCATCCATCCTACGCTATTTCCGCTAATAATAACAGTAAACCCCACAGAAGAGTTTACTTGGGGACTTTAGAACCGTTGCGTTGCCACGGTGTGATGTTTCTCAGGGCCCAGCTTGATATTTCAACAAGTGCTATACGGTTTAGAAATCTACGTTGACAGTCTTTCTCATGAAGTCAAGTCCTATCATCCCTCGGAGACGCCCTCCCAAACTAGAGTAGTTTCAAGTTCGCTCGCCGAATATCGAGGATGGAGTATATGGCAAACAGAATGTTCAAGATTTTAACTTCGCTCTGAAACGCCTAGCGTACTCGATATAATGGCTTTCTGTCTTTTACCCTGGTCCGATCGCTACTCGTTTCCTTACGAATTGCCAAAAGGGCGTTGAACTGAGCCCTGAGCGAAGACTCTTGGCAAGCCCCATAGCATAATTCCCGGGACCAGAACTCCATGTAAACAGTCTCAAGCTCACTTTATCCCTTATAAAATCTGATAGGTCCACGTTCCACTCCTGCTAGAGCAATTTAAAATTGGGGAGTCAAAGAGGAACTAGGCCCCTGAGGAAAATGGACTTTCTCAGCATAACGAATTGCTGATCTGTTCACTGTTCTAGGGCCTAGACCTCTCCAATTCCACAATTAATCAATATTGAATTATTTTTAAAACTGCTATAATCATACAGGTGCACAGAGCTAGGAGCGTACACTTTTATCATTATGTTTGTAAGTGACATTTAAATAATATAATGAGTGAGCAATCTCCACAGCGCCCCATTTGGTCACTATGAATAGCCAGCTCCCCAACCCAAGCTTAATTTGCACTCTGTAAGTAAAGGTATTCCATGAGCGTCGTAACAGGCTGGCTTGTATGCCATGTTTGAAGAAGGTAGATATATGTACATGACGAGCGACGTTGATACATCTTCTTGCCTAAGCGATTCACCTCTCTGGCCCACTCCATGGTTATAGTTCGATGAAACATACTACAGCTACGCATTCTATGTTCTTGTCTAGAAATCGTTCAGAAGTTCATTTCGTATACAATCCGCCATAGCGATTGCCAAATACATGGCATTCTCTTCGTTAAGTGCCGCCACAGAAATTCGAGAATTGTCAGCCATGTAGATATGATACGTTTCTGTTAGATGTTAGCCCTTCTTAAGCATGTGAGATATCGAACCAAGGCCGTCACACGCACCTCTCAACTCTTTGACAGCCGCCCTAGATAGCCCAAGATATCCAAATAGTCCCTTCTGGTGGATGATGAAGTTCCATTGACCCGGTATTGCTATTATTCTCTTAGCCGTGCCATTGTATTTTTACACATTCATGACAGCTTTTCCTCGCTTACCTTGATCCAGCAACGAGTCATATAGATATCGTCTGAGATAACGTCTTCTATCAACAGCTTGTTCAAGGTCTTCCACCCATTTCTCGGTAAGCTCGGAATCTGTCAATAGAAGGTGCGCAATACCAGCACCATACCGAGGCGGGCTCGATATCTGCGACCGCTGGACTTGCTCGAGGTAGGCCGAGCAGCCAGATGCCGCAATTCTTGATGATGTGTACACTAGCAAGCAGCCAACTCCTTCTCCTAGTGATAATTAGCCTGCATTTTTTTGGTTGTCTTCAGTGTTTGAATGTACTAGCTTACCGTGCAGCCCCATAGAATGGTCATAAGATGCGCATATTGCCGTCTCAATTTGCAGCTCACCAACAAAATGGCGGATCACAAACGCATCTTTATCAACGGATCCCGAGGAAAGTCCCAGATATGCCGCATTAAAAATAGGAAACAAGTTCCTCTCCTTGATAATCCTTCCAACCTCAACCCATTCTTCCTCCAAAAGATCTGTGCCAGTCACATCATTGCCACAGGCATACAAGAAGATAGCGCTGCCTGCCTCAGCTGCGATCAACATCTTCTTGTATGAATTGAAATCCATTTGTTTGGAACTTGTATCAAAATGGTCAAATACCTTACACTCGAGTCCAGCCTCCGAAGCTGCTTGTAGATAATTCGAAGATGTGGCCTCTGGTAAATATACTTTACCTCGGGGCGAGTGGCATCGGGCAATAAGTTTGCAAGCCAAATTGAAGGCTCCAATGTCTGAATGAGCTTGACATGTTGCGAGCTAGAATTAAATTAGAGGAAAGACAAGCTTTGAAAATAGGCTTAGATGTACAAACCTGTGATGATTTGATCGAGAAAATTTGTGCGCCCAGTATGCTCTTCGCAACTGCATCTCTCAGACCTTCATGTCCCAAGATAGGTGAGCATCCTTGGAAAACGTCTTGTTTATTGAGACGACTAGCCGCTTCGCGGACAGAAGCTAAGACTGAGCAGCTGTCTTGTCCTTCGTATGGTGGACTTTGAATGAGGTTGACCTTGTGAGGAAAATCATCTTGATTAAATTCCTTGGTTTTTTCAAAAATGGGGTCTAAAGAAAGTTGCAGTGTGTTTGCAAAGAAGCTTGGCGGAATTTCTGTCTCGGGACTCATGGCTGGCTACAAGTTGCAGATTTGGTCTTTGTTTTGTGCGTAATAAAATCTTGCTTGAGCTGACGATTCTTATTTCTAGTTGCACCCTAACGCTCGATGAATGGCAAACCGTCACTTGACAGCTACCCGGGTGGAAATCATGTTGTTGCACGGGCCGAACCCGAGATGATGAAGATGTGCGTGAGTGGGTCAACTTGCCAGCCATCTTGCCGTCCGGCGGTCTGGAACGTGAGTGCGCATGGGGCGAATTGTTGTTATGCCATCGGTATCATTGGCTTATGGTACTTTAGCAAGCACGACTGCCGGAATTAAGTTGGTAAGTCTTCACGGCATGGTAAACCCAATGGTAACAGTGAACATGTTGCTACTCGAAGCACACACTCAATCCCAAGACCCTAGACTAGGTGTAGATATTTGCTACACGTCTCAAGTAGGTTGCTGTTAAAATTTGTGTGTCTTTATATATGCTAAAGCCTAATGAATCTTGTATTTTGCTACCGCAGCTTGCGACGGCATTCCGAGCTCTTCTCTCGGGAAAGTGTCAGCACCTCGGATAGCTGTCATCCCGTAGGGCGTCAACCATGACACAATCATGTTATTCCAAAGGCGTGGAAAAATTTTCAGATCTAGCATGGTAAGACAGTTTTTCTTTCGGATATTTGCCGAAAATTCTGGCCACATTTGGAACTGGCCAAGTGCTGTGTGCTTCGATCCGCCAACCTCTCGCATCCCTCCCTTCCTCTCGTTGGACATCCATCTCCGTGTCACCTGTCGTACACAATGGTTAGTCTAAATTAATCCTGTCTGAACATGGGAATACAAAGCATCCAGAGTTGACAAAAACATAGAGTCAGAAGCAAGCGGATAAAAAGAGGCCGGACGAAAGTTTCGGCATCACGGTGTCTAAAGATGAGAACTTTCCGCAATGGTATCAAGAGGTGGTTCTGAAGTCGGAAATGGTCGAATACTACCAAGAAATATCGGGATTCTTCATTTTGAGGCCCCTCTCGATGTTCATTTGGAACCAGATCAAGCAGTGGTTCCAAGAGCGACTTGACGAGATGGATGTTGAGGAGGCGAGCTTCCCGACCTTTCTATCCGCAAAGTCGATTGAGAAAGAGAAAGACCACGTCGAAGGCTTTGCTCCTGAACTCGCATGGGTAACTAAAGCGTAAGTGCAATGCCGACTGGAACATATTCTTTGCCTTGCGGCCAGCTAATGACACTACTCCTTCAGTGGCTCGAAAGAGCTCGAGACCCCCATCGCCGTACGACCGACTTCAGAAGCTATCATATATCCATACTATAGCAAATGGCTCCGAAGCCACCGCGATCTCCCTCTACGACTGAACCAGTGGAACTCCGTCATTCGGTGGGAAGCGAAGCAAACAACACCTTTCCTTCGCACACGGGAGTTTCTCTGGCAAGAAGGGCATACTGCGCACTTGACCGAAGAGGATGCAGGCAAAGAAGTTCGAGAGATTCTAGAGCTTTATGCCCAAATCTATGAGCACCTCCTCGCAGTCCCCGTCGTACGTGGGCGCAAGACTGAACATGAGAAATTTGCCGGGGCATACTACACAACGACTGTTGAGGGCTACATCCCCGCTAATGGACGGGGGATCCAAGGCGCCACATCGCATTGTCTGGGACAGAACTTTAGCAAGATATTCGATATTTCTGTTGAAGATCCGACAGGCAACGGTCATATCCATGTCTGGCAAAACTCGTGGGCTTTTTCCAGCCGCGTTCTAGGGGTCATGGTAATGATTCATGGCGATGATAAAGGACTGGTGCTTCCTCCTCGAGTAGCTCAAATCCAGACAGTCATTGTCCCCGTTGGTGTCAAGAAGTCAACTAGCCCAGAGGAGAAGCAGATCTTCTTCGGTCAGATAGAAGGCATAGCCAAGAAGCTGAAGCTCGCCGGTGTGCGAGTATGGATTGATGACCGGGATGGCTACACTCCTGCCTGGAAGTTCAATGCCTGGGAACTCAAAGGGGTCCCATTGAGAATTGAATTCGGTCCGCGGGATGCTGCAGGGGGCGTAATCAGCTACTGTCGGCGGGATAACAGCGAAAAGGGTACAATCCCGATTGACAATATCTCAGCCGAAATCCCAGAGCTACTGGAGGCGATCCAAAAGAGCATGTACGATCGCGCTGATGCATCATATCGACAGCATCGCATCCAAGTTTGGAAATGGGAGGATGTTCTCCCAGCCCTGGATGAGAAGAACGTCTTGCTGATACCATTTTGCCTGGAGAAGCATTGCGAGGAGAAGATCAAAGAGCTTACAACGCGACAGGACGATACGTCTCATATTCCAGAGGAACGGCGACCCCCCACTATGGGGATGAAGAGCCTATGTATTCCCTTTGAACAGCCCGGAGGTTCGGGTCACTCAACCAAGTGCTTACGCCCTGAGTGTGGGAAAATGGCATTGAAATGGACCATGTTTGGTAGAAGTTATTAGATAGCTCAGTGAGAACTCTAGCGACAACCAGCAAGACGCGTCCATACACCCTTGATCGCCGTCGTTTAAAGCCAAATCCGCCCTCGCAACAACGTATGAAGATATGCACCAGTATTAATAATTTGCGCAAGTCGACATTAAAAGGATCAATAAGTCAAGGTTCACTCCGGTTTAGAATTCGTTGTGCACATACGGCCCGGATCACGATTAACACGTGCAATGTAATCAAATTATCAAATTCGTTCAAGACGATCCGGTTAGCAGCCGAGAGATTCAGTGCTTCCCATTCCAGATGGTCGGCAGATTTATTCCGCGAGAGATGCCCTACTTCCTTTATCTGTTGACTGCTTCCCGGTTGACTTGGGTGCTTGGCATGGTTTCAACGGTGGAATCCACCCTCCACTACCAAATTCACCTGCTTGGCTTGGGTTTTCCAAATTAATGCTTCCCATATGCAATTGAGTGCTCTTTCTTGATCTTTTCCAATTGCTTGCCTCTCTTTGCTCTACAGGTGTTGTAAACCCGAATTGTCAGGACGTTATTGTTGGTTTAGTTTGCTTCTGCAAAGGTTCTACAAACAGTTGGCTATTGACATTGCCACTTCCCCAGCTTATAAGATTTTGTCAAATGTCTGTCGGTCATTGCATACACTCAACCATATTAAAGACGGTAGGACAAAATTTCCAGCGCTATATTCAGAGTTCTTGACGGGGACCCGAAATAAAAGGAACACTTGATAACGATTTTTCTGCACTACGAGAAAGATGTTGTTGCGGCGTGTTAAACTTGATATAGGGTAGATGATCCTATTCGGGTTAAACTGCCTGTCATAGCGGTGAAATAAGGTGAGGACCCTCGGGACTTTGAAGTGTCAAGCCCTGCCATCTTGGCAGCCTATTTTGTGACGCGTCAAATCATCAGATAAAGGGGGATAAAACAGTACCACTCTTTCATCCACCAGATCATCACCGATGGAATGGACAAACGAGGACTACAAGTTTCCTTGGCAATCAAATCTTTAACAACTACCTAATTATTATTGCTTAGATTTATGGAAGGTGGCACAATAGACCCTAGACCTTCCTGGGCTGAAACGTGGCTTGTGACTGACAAGACCTGAATGCGTAGGAGGACTGTGCCGGATGTTACGGGAAACTTATAAGAGTCTTTAAACAGCATCAATTTGCCGACAGTCCTAGGGACGAATGCAACGTGATGCTTACATCCCATCCAGTTCGTCCCAGGGGTACTTTGATCACACTCCGGCACTCTCCGCTACGCAATACGCTCAACCGGTGGCTCCGGCTCTATTCCTGGTCATTATCTGTCCGAAGCCAGAATAATTGTATGTTGTCAGTTTCAAGTACGAAGTATGTCCACAACAGGCAGCACAAATGTTTGATCCTAAGCTTGTCATCACGACTGTGTGTCGGGGTGAAGCGGCACAGAATTGCCACTGGAAAGCGGCCAGGGTCGGAAAGCAGCCAAGGAGACCTATCTGCCGATTCTAAGCATATTTTCAGGGACCGGGACTACCGATGGAGTCTCAAATGCCGGGATCGCGCTCTTGGCCCTGGCGACACAGGCAAACAGGGAACTCGTCAGATACGAAGGATTTGTTGGGCAGTCTACAATGAAACCTCAGGTTGGGGATTGGAAAGCTACCATGTATCAACGTAACATGAGCAGTTTGATTTAATTTCCGCCACCGGGAGCTTTTCACAGGGGGGTGGCGCTGCGTTCCATGTGCCTTCGTTCCATAGCCAATGACACTCAAGCTTTGAGCAAAGGAAGCATAAACGGGGATTGAAAGGAATGAACTCGTTTATGCTATGGTACTCAAGTGTCTTGACCGAAGGAAGGTCTAAGAGGAAGTGGCCCTTTTATTTTTATCCATCTTTTACGTGTATGATATCATTTTCCTCCTATTATCAACGAGGGACGACGGGATTCGGTAGAAACCGACAACAAAATGTTGGATTAAATTATTTGGATTAATTGCCACAGAGTGAATCCGCAACTGAAAATTTATCCAGAGTCAATGCGTTATTCATCCAACTTGCTACGAGTAGCCTGGGGTGTAGAACCTGGTTCGTTACGGTCAAGGGACCATCTGGACTACCTGCTCATGCACATGCAGCTTCTGGGATTGAGATCCTGGCTCGGTGTCTTTTTTTTCACCGTGAAGTCCTAGAATAGTATATATCACCAAGTATAAATACTGGCGGAATGGTTCTACTCGTTCTTTGGATGGACAACCCGCGCTCAATAGCCTGACTTTCCTCTTAAACCATTGGCAAGAAAAAAACCAAACGTCAAGATGTTGTGCAAGACATTCACTGCCCTTTCCGTCCTCGCTGCTGCTACGGCAGTAGCAGCTACCGAGACCCACGATGGCATCGAATACGAAATCCGCTGGGAGCCCAATGGTGCTGCTGAGACGGCCGCTATCAAGACTTCCTACGAGACGGCCGCTGCCGAGGAGGCCTACACACGCATACAGTCAGCCGTGAACTCCGAGGCCAACACTCAGGGTATCGGAAAGACTTGCCTCACCTCCGTCGAGAGTGAGGCAGAGCCCGAGAAGCTGTACAAGCTCAAGGAGTGTATCATCGCCGAGGCTGGAGAAGACATCTTCTTCGACCTCCTGGCTGACGACATCACCAAATCCGATGCCTTCTGGGCTAAGGTCATCGCCGAGTCTACTACCGACCGAACAAAATGGATTCCCGCCCGCCAATACGCCAAGGCCTACTTCAACGGCAAGCTTACTGCCACTGCCTTCGCCTTATTCGAGGCCAGCGCAAGTGCTGATGCGGGCAACCTCCGTGCAAACGCCGAGCACTACTACAAGAAGTCAGACATTCGCCCTGATCTCAGCCAGTCGTCCAACATCTTCGAGGGCTGGGGTGGTGTCCTCTCCTCCTTCGGCACCATGCGAACCAACTTCACGGTTCCCGACTTCCAGGTACCTGCATTCGGCACTGACGAGTACCCAAGCATTTGGGCGATCGACTCTGCATTCCCCACTGCTCTTCAGCGTGTGGGAGAGAAGAAGCTCGTGACTGGAGAGGCTGCCGGCCAGACCTTTGGCGTTCTGCACATCTCTGTCCGCGACTTCACCGACGACAAGGGCTCTGGCATCGAGATCTACTCTGCTGTCTGGTACCCTCCCTGGGACAAGGCCAGTGAGGCTGACAAGAAAGAGTTCGCCGAGAACTATGTGCGGGACGAAGCCCATCACATGGTTGTTGAGGTCGTTAACCTCACTCTTGAGGCTGCCGGCCTTCAGTAAGTTCCTCAATGTCAAGATTAAAAGAAGTGTTGGAATAGATTGGTTTTGTATCATAGACATGAATAGACTACTTGGAACTTCGAAAGAATAGGCCTTGCAAGTAAGAGTGGTATTGAAAAAGTCGAGGATCCTGAACATATACACTGCAATGCTCTCACGCACAATGATTACCATGTCGCGGGATGTGACTGTGTGTTGCAAGGAGTAGAGATCTGAATTCTATACAATAAAGTCCACCGAACAGACGCCCCAGATCTAAGGCGCGTAAAATGTGTGCGAGTTAAGGAAAAGAAGAAGTCTAGGTCAACCTAAGCAACTTCAAGGAGACGTATTCGTACCATATACTACACATGTTAGAAGTTGAGCGGGGGGGGCTACGAGGACAGGTGTATGTGTGTACGTTCGTGTGTTTGAGAGAGACAGTGGGCTTGTATTTGGCTGGTCTAGCTATCTATCCCTCTTGCTGCCTTCCTTCCTCCTCTCCTCCCCAGTTATATATAAGAGTTTTTCTAACCCAGGCAACCTTAGTAGCTGTCTTTATATAGCTACAGGCAGTAGTAGTTATAATTACTATATCTTAGTAAATCGCTTTTATATTTAATAAAAGATAGTTAATTACTATATTTTATCTTAATATTAATCTAATTAAAATACTCCTCTTTAAAGGAGTTATTTTAATTAAGGATCTAAGATCTAAGTTAAAAGAGACTAATAATCTATTTAAAGCTAAACTTAGAGAGATTTTTAATCTCTCTAACTATCTTAGCTAGCCTAATAAGCTTATAGTTATTAGTATTAATCTTAGGCCAGATCTTCAGAGCTTAGTTATTTAGCTAGCCTAACTAAATAATAAGTACTATAGTAAGTACCTACTTCCTCTATTTAGTTCTCTTCTTTATTATAGTATATTTTCTTAGACCGAGATAACTGTTATTAAGGTTCAGAGGCAGACCGGGTGAGAATATTTAAACTGGAGTATATATAAGTTTCTATCCGCCTTAAAAGCAAAGCTTAATATACCTAATAATCAGCAGAGTAATACCAGCAGAGAAGTTAAATAATTCGACTGAGTAGTATATATAGTAATAAAGGTAGTAATAGCGCTTAGCTTATCTATAAAATAATAAAAACAGCGATATATAATACTTAGATCGTTTAAGTTAATAAAGATAGTAATTTATAAATTATTAATACTATTATAAGTATAGATAGACTTAAGTTATACAGTTTATTCAGGCTAGTAATAGCAGCCTTTATAGATAAAAATCAGTATTTTAAGGTTTATAAAAGGAGTTATACTAATAAAAGAGTTACTACTAGGTACAGTCTTTAGTATTAATAAACCTTATATATAATATAAGTATAGCTATTTTAGTATTAAACCTTAGATATAGCTAGGTATAAGGCTTATAGCTATAAGGCTGAAGTTTATTATATTATAATACCTGGGTATAGTATTAAGTTATTAAATTACTAATATCTGGGAATTTCCCCTTTTTTTTTTTTCAGCAGCTGTACAGCTCCCTCACTTACTTACTACTACTGTTAGAAGTTGAGCACAGGGTGGCTGATATTTTCGGTCAATTTTTAGGTATACTCTTGTGACTACGATCTGTGTCAATGATCTTATTGAAACTATACAATTAAACCCTTTAGATAACTTTTGCTTCTTTAGTCAACTCAACTGCTTATCCTCATATACCTA